TAACTTAGTTTAGACTTTGTGTTTTTAACTGGAAATCGCAATACGCAGTGCCCTGCAAACTGATCCAGACATCCCAGGGTTTGAGAGCACATTAGTTACTTGCTTGGAAAGAGTTTTCAAGACCAAGTATGGCGCTTCACTTATTCCGCACTATATGGTAACACCTTACAGATTCTCCATCTACAGAATGTTGTTCATGTATTCGTAGGTGACTGTTATATATATGTATGCACATGAAAATATGTTGAGCCAATTGCTATATTTATGAAACTCTGATTTACTTTTTTTTTGGTGTTTGTTTAAGCCTGTTTTGCAAGTTGGTCTCAAGGCGGATTCTGCAGTAGTGAAATCTTTGGCTTGCAAAACCGTAAGTGACTAAAAGTAACGGTTTTTGTGTTTTCTCGATGTTTGCCTAGTTTGTAGTGTTTGCTAATGGTTGAGTCTTGTTTTGGTTTTTCTTAAGGTCACTTGTCTCTTGGAGAATTGCGATGCAAACGATGTTTCCCCTGTTCAGCTAATTGTTAGCAATGGCATATACCCTCTTCTGCTTGATTATATCATTAACAGGTAAGAAACTATGCTTATAGCTCTAGATTGTCTTCTTACAACTGTGTTCATTTGGTATTGGGATTGCCTCTAGTCTATCCACTGGGGGATCAATTGGAAATAACAAATTGAAAATTTTTGGAGCATAACAATTACTGTCTAGAGGCTTTGGATTGGTCTTGCGTGGTTAGAATATTAATTAAGTATCTACAAATAGTTGCTTTGCCTCAAAATTAACCATCAATATGCTTTTTTTGTTTCTGTAGCGATGATGAAGTGGCAAATGCTGCAAGTGAGACAATTAAGAGCCTAGCACGATTTCCAGATGCAATGGTCTGTGTTTTAAATGGTTTCATTTTGGCTCAGTGGCTAGTTCTTATACACCGTTTATTCGTGTTGCATAAAACTTAAGCCTCTTTTTTCACAGTCGGTAATTTTCCCTGCTGAAACCAACGATGCTACACACCTTCGTAACCTTGCTGCAAGGAGTTCGTCGCTGGTATTGTGGCACTTTATATAAAAAAAATATTACCATGATATTCCATTTCTTGCTGTCCCTTTACACTTTTCTAACTGTTTTTTCAGGCACGAGTCCGGGTTTTGTCTTTGATAGTGAAGCTTTTTGCAATTTCTCCACATGTAGCTTTGGCAATTAAGAACTCGGGTCTTCTTGATTTACTGGAGATAGAAATGAAGAGTACAAAAGACACTCTTGTGATCTTAAATGTTCTGGAACTCTACTATGAGGTTTGTCTCTGATTTCCAAGATTATGATTGAGTCTCTTTTCTTTGTTGCCCACATTTTAAAAGAAAAGATAGACAGAATTATGCTGAATGTTTGTGCATGATTAACGCTGAAGTTAATGGAAGTGGAGCACAGTTCAGAGTTCGTGCCACAAACTTCACTTATTCAGCTGTTTTGTTCGATTATCAGGTATAAGCACAGTTAATAGTTGGCCATGTTTACAATAAAAGGAATATGGATACCTATTAAGCTTGCCCCAGCTCACCCTTTTTTCTCTGGGTCAAAAAATTTGTATAGTGGTACATCAATGGATCACTTTCTGAAGTTAAGAGCAATGATGATAAGTGGCAGGCTTCTCTCAAGGGACAGTATCTACAATGTTGTGGATGAAGCTTGTAAGATTTCAATAGCTTTTTTGCCTTTATTGGTTAGAATTCTGTGATTGCTTGTGCCTATGATACAAGTGAAGAAACTGACAAATTTACTACAAATTGCTTTGTTTCTGTATATAAGTTGAGAAAGAGATTATAGCTTTAACTGTGCCTATGATACAAGTACTGTAGCTGGCTAAGATCCACTTTCACCTTTGTCTTGGATCCAGGTGCGAAGGCACTAATTTCAGCTATTGATGGGAGTCTGGAGTCACCGGAGATGAATGATACAGATGCACAGGAAGCTGCGCTTGATGCACTTGGTCAGATTGGATCAAGTAAGTAGCTCAGTTTTCTTTGAAACTGCATTGCTCTGGATTTCTACTAAAAGAGATAGCTAGCTAGGTCACACGTTTGGGGTTGTGAATCATAAGAGTGACCGACAAGATATTTTGTTTCCCTTGAAATAATCTTGTGATTTATATGTATATTTTTACCATAATCTTTAGCAACGAAGGGAGCAAATCTAGTCCTTTCAACTTCACCTCCAGCTGCAAGACACGTTGTAGCTTATGCGTTTGATCGTAATGCACAAGGAAAACAGTTGGTTAGTGTGTTTTTTCTTCGCATCAATTTATAATTGTGCCGATTATATGCTCTTAGAGAGACATCTTTGAATATTATACTAGTCCTGTTTTAGGATTTGTATTTCTGACTCTAAGTATGAGGGTTAATTTTATTTTTTCATTAGCAAAGACGTTCATGACATCATGACTGTTTTGCAGGCTGCACTGCACGCACTGGCTTACATTGCAGGTGAAACACGGCCTAAGAGCAGCAGAATAGTTGATGGAAAAGCTGAAGAAAGTCTTAGATGTTTAATATACGATGTTGCAGCACAGAGTACAAAACTAACACCATCCGTGAGTTGATTTCCTCTTTTGACTCTTCTTGCTCAGCTTTGTGCAGGCTACACATGTTTATGTTTGACCAATAGCATGAGCTAATTTAAGCACGTTGCTAAAAAATCGCAGGGTTTATTCCTTTCAGTTCTTCAACAAAGCTCGGAAATGCGTCTTGCGGTAAAAAGTTTAACCTCAGCATCTGATCTTTCATATCTTCTCCCCCTTTGTTTCCATAGTGTGCATAATATTCAAAGTTTAAACCTCTTTTTTTCCTTCTACGCAAGACTCAGACACGTCTTCTAATTCCATCTCACATACAGACCGTCCAAGAGGAAACTCTATGCTTTTTTGCTAATACTATGTTGTTCACAATGTCCTCCTCAGGGTTATAGAACATTAAACGCGTTGGTGGCTAGGCCATGGGGCCTGATGGAAATCTTGTCGAAAGAAGAGATAATAAACATAGTGACGGATGCAACTGTTGAAACCGCAAAAATAGGTAAACTAAGTAAAGCTCCTCTTTGCATCACACATCAGCCACTTGACTGGCTTCTTCCTCAACCTCTTTGATCTCTGACTCTAAATCTCACATTCTTGACTCAGCAATGGAAGCAAGGTACAACTGCTGCAAATCAATTCACGAAGCGTTCTTGTCTAGTAACTTCGTTGAGGACCCTCGTCGTCTAAAAACCGGTGAAAAGGTTTGGATCATTTTCCCTCTGCTCTGTAAACTTTTTATTTTTAAAACATATCTTGTACTTTTGCTTGTTGTTGACATGTTTGAAATTTGTTGCAGTTGCAAGAAGCTGTTCGAAGTGGACCGTATATGTCCAAGAAGTACAGAAATGCACGACCAGAAGTAATGATGGCTGAAGGATTCTAATGACATAACTAAAACGAAAAGGCGTTTACCAAAGTTTTATCTTTCTCCGTTGTTCGATAAGTAACTTTAGTTTCGTTTTCTCTATCTCTAAAGTCTAAACAGTAGGTTTCTGAACAAAAGGCTAAAACGCTGTTTTTTAGCGTTTGAAAATGGTTTTATAGTTTTGACTTTTGAGGATAATAATAACAAAAAGAAGTTTGGTACGTTTCTCAATTTGTGTGCGCGAATGTTTAAGATCTGATGGGCCTTAGCCCATGATATACAAAAAGTCTATCAAGCAGGGGTAAAAGGGTAAATTACTATTGTAGACATCATCTCTTTCTGGATAACACAGGCCCGACGAATAGAGCCTCTGGGAATGAGAAGCATTACTCTTACAGTAGTAGTTACGGAGTAAAAGAGCAGAGAAGAGCTCAAAAGTAGGAAAATCCATGGCGACGATAGTGCAGTGTCTTTCTTCCTGTGCGACCCTCGATTCCAAATTCAAAGCTCTTTCGCTTAAGGG